GACACACACACACTCACATACACACACACATATAAAACAAAACAAAACAAAAAAGAAATAAAAAGACTGAAGCAAGCAAGCAAGAAGCTGAAGAAAAACAATTACTTACCAGCACAATAACCTGCTGAACAATACCAGGGAGGCCTTAGATAGTACACGAAATAGTTACCCGGACACTTGGTAATGTTTATGTTGAATGAGTCGAAGCAACCGTCTGGGTCAATGTTAAGAGCATTGATGCATGCTTTGCGAACAACATTCTCGCCCTTCTTCGTCGGATGAGTACCTTTCAACCAGATGGGAGCGTGCGTGCCACACTGGTTAGGTAGCACTTTTTTTTCCGGCATTTTTCCACCAACAAAGCTTGTGAAACGATACCAACCCCATCTCAATACCCTATCACATATAGCGACTTGTCCCGCTTTCCAAATACTATTAACGCTGCGGCGAGGCTCATTAATTTCGATGTATGTCGAATTTGAGCAACACGAACCGTCACTGCAGTCCTTACGCGCCTGGCAAGCTACTGCACTAAGGGCCACGAGTATAAAGAGGCTGATAAAAGCAGAGTCAGCTAAGTTCATATTTGAATACAACGCTCTGCATACGCACAGTTTGCTGTACGATATACGTTCGAGCTATTTTTTAAGGAAGACAGACGCCATCATCTATATCAATCACCTGGATTGCAATTGGTCAATAATTACGTCTGCTTCTAAATGAAATATCGAATTATCGCGGAAATAATTAATTTTTGTCGTTTGCGCTGAAGTCAAAGTTGCCTATTGACTCTGTCATTCTGAATTGATTGACATATAAATACGCTATTAGCATGGAGGCGTGAGAAGATAAAGGAACCGAAAGGCAGGAGCCCAATGATAGTGACTTAATCTTAATCTACGTAGATCTTTCACGCAATTAAAAACAGATCCTTCTCAATAGCTTTGTTGCTCAGTTCTTAGAACTCTATTCTATAATCTTGCCGTGAACGATTAAGGGCTTGTAAAAGTGGAAGTTTGTCATATTCTTACGCAATTTGGTTTGTAACTGTAAAAAATGGTACACTAGAGACTTAAGATCTGTTTACAAACAGCGAAACAAACGTACACTCGATAAATTTCTTAGGTGACTAACGTTAGTAAGCCACAATTTCCTGCTTGCTTAGTATGCTGAACTCAGGCGCTGTTAACGTTGCTGCATTGCAGTAATCAATCGTATTTGCATTCGTAGGAGCTAAACTGTAAGTGGCAATGACAGAAAATGTCTAATTTCTTGTTGCCATGAACGCACGCGCGCCATTGTAGCACTGATTGAGTCTGGGAGTATGTTCCTATTTTTCTCATTGTGTTCTTGGCCTTTTATATCAGGTGGTTGTATAGTAAAACTTCTACATTGATATCCTCTTTGAATAAAAAATTACTAAACAATGGCTATGTCTAAGGTAGATCGTGACGTAAAGCCCGGTGTTGTGGTCTATCTTTGTGTAGTGTCTATCAAATTGATGGGGGGTACTGCACTGCGTCTTTGAATATTGTACAGAAAGGGCGCAATATAAATAAGGAATTCATTCATTCATCGATAGCTGCTCAACGTATTAATGATGATACTGGAGACTACCTACTGTGAACTTTACAGAATTTACACCTTTGACGGGAATTTTGATGGCGTAAAAAAATACTTTGATCGAAATTTTGAAATTGACCCCGAAAAAAAACAATTATACTACATCATTACTATGAAGGTGAAATGTATCAAAAGTATTTCCTCATAAAATTTTGAGAAGGGAAGTTGTTTCCCTCAGAGAGATCCAAATAAGTGCGTATTGTTGTGACAATACTGTACACATCATGTTGGTACACTTATGCCATGAAAATACACAGCCGTATGTATGGTAAGATGAAGTTTAGAATCTTATGCACTTACCTTCACCCAGAGGCACCGAGGAGTGAGGGTATTAAGGGTTTTCCTTCATTCAAAATTTGGCTTTGGAAATATCGTTTTTCTTAATCCACAGAAGAAATGCGAGCTGATGCGAAGCGGGCCAAGGATGACCTTGTCGTTGTAAAGGCCTTCGTGTTTGTAAAAGGCAAAGCAAAGAAACCGTAGTAAACTTGTCTACGTCTAATAGACGAATGACACCATATCCTAACTGACAGATAAAAATTGTTGCAGCGGTTAAAGTGCGTTTCTTAAGACGAATCCGAATTATACACAATCTCCGCATCACATGAATGACTAGCATGGACATCACTAACATCTGTGCATGACTGAATAAAGTTTCGTTCAATTTAATTTTTTTTTTTGGAGCGTAAATCGTACCATATTAAGTTAGTGAGACTGGGAAGGTTAGTGCCTTCACTGACTTAAGAAGTGATAGTTACAGTGGCATTATATTTATGAGAGAAAGGACGATCCTACTTTATTTCCTATTTGATTATTTTACATATTCTCTTCGGAAATTATGGCTACTCTCTTTTAAGAGCGATGGAATCGAAATTTCTGCTCAGTGAGCACCAAGAGCGACATCAAGAGGGAAAATACTAAGCCGATGGAAACCATGCAGTTTATGGACAGTGTCGCGATTCTCCCACAGTTCTTCAAGAACTGTGGGAGAATCGCGATACTGTCGAGAATTGTGCCCTAGCTGCAACCGTGATATAGGATATAGCGGTTTCGGCGCATTTTTCGAAAACATATGATTCCGACGGCCTTCAGGCATATTAATTCTCGTTTTTGGAAATTTACCAGTTTATAGAAAATGACAAGTTACATAAAGAGAGGATTCCGAGAAATTGAAAGACGGTTGGTTCCAGGAAAAGAGAAAGAATATTGACATTATGCCCTTGCGATGGCGTCAGAAACAGGAACTCGATGAGGGACTTTCCCATAGAAATGAGTCATGATTTTTGTGTCCAATTACAGACTTCACTTTTTAGCTTCACGATTGTGAAATTTTTTTTATGAAAATCTTTTTATTTGAAAATTTTCATGAAAATCTTTCACTTTGTGTATTTTTTCGTGTTGTTTGGTAGTTTCCATAGGCCCGCTCCGGGAGCTTACGTCGCCGTAACTTTAGGCAACTTAACAAAAATTGATAGAAAAGACACTGTGCCCTTTGGGGAGTTAAGGCAATTTAAGTCGACTTAAAGCGATTTTAGTCAACTCAAGCGGTGAAACCTAAGTTAGCGACAGTCTCTCCATAAACTTAACAAAAATGTACAACGCAATCCCTTGCAATACAACAACAACAACAACGAATTTTATTTAAGCTTAATAAGAAAATTACAATGCTTGGGCATTGGGCCCAATCATTTTGGTTACTTTTGTATCCACAAAAGTCACCATTGTCTGAAATATCCAGATTTGAAACCATTTTTAGCGAAAAATGCGTAGACAGAATTCCCACAACATTTATTGTTCAATTACATGTATATCGTCGAAGCTAGTGAACAATTAACCAGGAAAAATTATGGGTTATATGCCTAGCGTAACAATATGAAAAAAAAAACTAAAATTAACAAACCTTATAAATTATGCCCATACTTACATAAATTTACATTTTGAGAAAAGAGCCACAATTTAATTAATTAAAATTCATTAAGATTATTTACACGTATTTATTATTTCACAAAGCCAGCTTCACAAATTATGAAAATACTCAGCTTGTCTCCCATTTTTTGGCACTTATACTGCAAATTTTGGAATAAATTTTAACTTGATGTCAGTCATCTTCAGCAGAGCATCCAAAGACAGACCTGGAGATGTGAAATAAGGACAAGGATCAAGCTTGCAGTATTGCAATCAGGTGTTTCTTAAGTTTTCAAATATGTCTACAAGAAGAACATCAGATCCGTGATACAGATCATGATTATTATCACCCATCAAATTGAGGTTAAATGTTTGCCATACTTTCTGTGTATGTTTATACTGCTCATCAGACATATCCTCATTATTCAATATACTGTAGATATCATCTTTTCAGGAAATTGTTTTTCATCAATCTTTTTCAAAACTTTTCATATACTGACTGTCATAGGGATATACTCATTTCTGTTTCAGGAGATTAAATTAATTGTTTTTTTTTTTTCTTCTAATACATGTCCTGTGTATTTCAAGGCATCATCAGGCAGAGTACTCACAAGTCTGTCCAAACTGCTTGACATAAATTGGAAAGTACCAAGGAATACCAAATGTTTGCCTAACATAATGTTATTTATTCCCACAAGAGTGTGCATGATGAAATGAGAATCATTACCTCTCAGATTATGGAAAATAACAGGAATTTTAATAGTTTTGACATCCATTTTGAGTTTTATATTGCAATCTTGATGAGCCTGATCCTCTGTATTTTCCTGTTATATGACACTGGTCCCTGGCTCTGATATCTTTCTATGCGTGTGTCATCTATTGCAAATGTGACATTCTTCTGCCTAATTGAATTTCCATTCATCTTCATCTGTCATCATCAAAAGTTTAAGTGTTTGTTTTTAGTTTTGAGGCAGTATTCAACTTCTTCAATCATCTGTTCCTTAAATTTATAAACAGCTTTTTCACCTCTAACACTTGTGATGGCTTAATTGCTGTATTTATCATCATAGTGGCACACAGTCTTATCTCCATAACCACAGTCTGTATGCTTCTGGTATGCTTCTGTATATGATTGATTTTTGTCGAGTGCACATTAGGTGAATCATTTTAGTTATTGCACTTTAAAAATCAGCATAGACAACAAAATGTACAGGCTGTTGTTTCTGATGATTTCCCTTACCAAAACCACATATATTTTACATATGATTATCTGCTTCATATGTATGTGACATATATGTTACATGTATGTGACACATATGTCACATACATGTAACATATATGTGACATATGTGTCACATATATGTCACACATGTGTCAAATGTAGGAATTTGGAACCTATGTGCAGTTATGTGACATATATGTGACATGCATTTGATATATATGTGACAAAAAGTATTAATGGCAGCTAGCTATTAATTGTGAGATATGTTGTGGTTGCTCCCGCACAGAGCGACCTAATCTTTTTCCAGTTTTAAGTTGTTAAATGTATACTTATAACAGTTTTCAATGGAAACAACTAAAACGATTATAGTAGAAGAATGACAGAATGATTAAAAATTCATGTCAATTGAAGTTAATTAAGAGACTGTGATTACAATCATGTATTTCAAGAAAGATCTAAATACAGTAGAAATTTAAAATTGGTTTGCATTCAATATCTAGTTACAAGTAATAAAGTTCATCTTATTGTCTTACTGGCATTCAATATATAGTTACAAGTAATAAAGTTCATCTTATTGTCTTGCTGTTTTGGAAATGCCTCTCCTGCTTCCGGTACATTTCTCCTATATTGTTTTTTGGACTTTTGTGACTCTGTTCTCCTCTTTGAACTGTGATTGAACAAATGCTGTAAATGAAGAAGGATTTATAGCAGTTAGACAATTTCCAAAGCTAATATAATGATTTTAGGCAGCTGTTAATCTCTAAATGTGTCTCTCATATTTTTTGCATTATTAACTATCAGACACATGACTAGAAGCTCCTGTATTTTACTTGTGTAGCATCAGAAACTTTTTAATTATCCCAAGAAAAATTCCAC